AAAAAAAAAAAAAAAAAAAAAAAAGGGAATAGCTTTGAATGTAGAAATGGATTCATTAACCATTGGTAAATATAGGGAAAATTGTCGTTTACCCGAGGAAAGTTAATTTTTTGGCCAAAATGAACAGTTGTTATTCTGTTAAGTAAAGGGAGAGGTAATAACAGCACATCCATCACACTGGACATCAGCTTCACATTTAAAGTAGCTTCAGGCTGCAGACATCAATCTTATATATAGATCTCTTTACAGTTATATTTCTTGAATCTTGTCTTTTTTATTTAGCAGAAAAAAAAACATTAAGAGTAAAACTTTGAAGATGCTCCAGGCATGAGATGGCATTCCTTACAACGGTGTTTGTTGAATCTTGTCTGTTTTTTCCTCTATCAGAAATGAACATTCAGAGAAAAATGGGAATAAGAAAAAAATGTGCAATAATTGAAGATGCCCCAAGTCTTAGACCCCATTTCCAGAGATTAGATCGATCTACTTTAGATCGACCTAACTCCATGGGGGTTCACGCTAAATAGCTGTCAGCCGAGCGGACACGAAAGTTAATTACCCGCTTACAGCTTGTAGTAGGCGACACGGACATTTAAGCCGGATTATCTGACAGTAATCTAGTGAGACTCCCCGCGGGGATAGATCGATCTAAAAGCTCTGGGAATGCAGCCTTAGACAGCAGTGTTATCATTGATATTTCGTGAATCTCTTGTCTTATGTTTGAGCAGAAATGATCATTCAAAGTTATATACAAAAAATAACGTGCATTGTGCACATATTGTATTGATGCTAACATCTTGTATTGGTGGTGAATAATTAATGGAATGGCTTGTGTGATTACAGATAGCACAATATGTTCCTGGGTTTACGTGAAAGCATGGCTTGGAATTATTTGACACATTTTCATGAAAAAAGAAAAAAAAAGAAAAATAACGACCCCTATTTTTAAAATCAGTGAGGCAAAAGGCTTTTGAAATGACCCTCACAATTCCCAGATACACATACATCGATATAGAAAGATTAAATTTGGTCTTTTGAAGCAGATATTTATTCTCATGAAAATGACATGTAATTGTTTGAAGCTTAGTCATTGGGCTTGCAGTTGGTAATATATATATATATGTTTGTATTAATATTCCACAAATGTAATTATGTTTTCCAATTCAGATGGTAAAACTCCTCAAATACAAGTACTTGTTCTCAGCATTTCCTTTTGAAATGTCAGGAAGACCTGACAGTGTAAATGAAACATGGTTCATGTAGAACTAAGCTATTTAATTAAAAATGGGACATAACATTGAATCCAAGTGTAGGGTCAGGTCAAACAAAAAAATAGTTTTTTTTTTTTTGGTAAAACAAATTTAGTGAAGAAATGTTGTGTTATGCACTATTTTTATTAGAAATAAGAAATTTTATTTTCAGGTGCAGATCCCATTTGATTCAATCTTCCAGATCTGTAAAGGATCGTCCATGTTCGTCTATGCTGCCCTGATAATAGCGGTCAAGAATGACCAGCACTGGTTCTCTGCACTGCCCAATCGGGACGGAGCCTACGTCATGCTGGAGCATTTTTGGAAAGAGAGACTGGCGTCGAAAAAACATGACAGAAAGAAAGGAAGTAAAGGCAAGACACAGAAAGGACAGGAACTACTGAAGGTTATACAAATTAATTAATTTGGATTTCATTTATTTATTGTTATAAGTTGTTTGCCTGTCCACGTCCATTTATATACAGCACCTTTTGCTCATGAAACAATTTACATACATACATAAATCTCTGTCTGATATTTTTAATTCGAAAACTTTGTCAAATGCCTTACATTATTTCCTAATTCATCTTCTGGGAAAATAGTTTTACTGTCTGAAATCCCAACCTTCATGTGGATTGCTAGGTTTTAATTGTTTTGGCAAACTTGTCTGATATCTGAGGATTGTTTCTTGTCAAATGATAAATAAATCTTTAGCCGAATCATTTGAATACCATGATAGAAGTGTAGTTTCATGAAATAATTGAGCTTTCCGATCACAGAAGTTTCAGAGCTCTTGTTATCTTTGCTGATCCAGATCCAGAGAACATGGAAGAAAATACAAATTTAACATACTTGTGCTTTAATTCCTGCACCCTGTTTATTTTATAGATAACAGCTGACTCTGAGAAAACCCTACAAAAGGCTGCAACACAGCTACACCACCAGGGGGAGCAATTGGATGCTACTATGGCAACAACCTTTGACATCCATGCTGACCTTGATGTCACAGAAAATATCATATCCGGCCTGGAATCATGGCTTGGAAAGTGGAGCGCCTCCGTGAATGTCCCCGCTGAGGCTCATGTGGTCCTTTCTCCGGGGGATATCCCAAAAATACAGGAGTACCCTGTGTTGTTTCAGAAATTCTCTCGTAAGCATGAGAACACCTGGCAACAGGGTGTTTTTGAGATCTCCCCTGAAGGACTTATAATTAAGGTGGGTGAAAGTCGTTAAGACAGTGTTGTTTACTTCCTTTAGGGTATGTGATTGTAAGAATAAATGGTTAAAGTACTTAAATTTTAACAAATCTTGTAAAAGCAATGTTGAAAGATAAATTGTGACAGGAGTATTTCTTTGAAGATGTCAGTGTGCATGTTTTGTTGCATTTTCAAACAAACAAAGTCATTTTTTAATCCTAAGTTCACATCCGTTGCAATTTTAAAAAGCAAAGTAGTTTATATAATCAAGTAATGATTCCAGAACTCTCCTCGTTTTCTAGGATCAGCTGAATGCCATTGTGCAGTTTTATGGGGTCAAGGACGTGTCAAAGGTGAAGGTCACCACCCCGTGGGAAATAGAAATCTCAAAGTTTATGACAGGACAACCTGATGTCAAGTACAGAATTATGTCCACCAAGATGGTGCAAATATTAAAGGTGAGGTTAGGAGAAATACTCCTGTCTTTTTCTGTGGCTTATTTACTCCAAGGTGGAAATTAGGCAACTGACAAGACAATATCACTTTTAGAAAGACTGCTTTTGATTTTTTTTTAGCTTTGTTTAAAGATTTAAACTTGAAAGATGATTTATTTAGTAATCTATGAAAATACATGTCTTAAAAAGAAACAAACTAACAGAGAAAAGTGTAAAAAATTGCCCTGTGAAGCAAAAAATGGCCATGCTTTGCTGTTCCTCCTTGTTAATCATCATATTTTACACATGATTTCATTACTTTTGAATTGACCAGGTGCTGGAAGCCAAATACAGGTCAAAGATGGAGTATGAAGGACCTCCAACTTTGGAGAAATGGCAGAGGAAATCTTGTGGTAATGATAATTGTTTTTGTATAAATCTTTGGTTAAAATAAATTTCATTGTAAGGAGGGACCTGTAGGCCATATACTGTATACGAAAAAGTAAACAAAGAAATAAACCAGCAAATAAAGACTAAGTTTTTATTCTAAATAAGTAAATGTCTAAGAGCTTTATACCCTGGCTATGAGTTCACATGAAAGGCCAGCAGATTTTTAAGGACAATATTTAGACCTGTTCTTGCATTTGTTTTTATATTTTCAAATGTGAAGAATTGATATGATCTAGGCACTTGATTTTCTTTTTACATGGTTTAGACATTGCTTCTAGAAAAATCAGTTCAGAAACTTGAAAGTAAACAAGACGACTTACATAATCTTTTTTCTTACAGGTGAGGATCAGCATATCAAGCTGGAAGACAGAATAGACGAGGATGTTTTCACCACCCCTCCCTCCAGCCCTTACCCCTCCATTTCAGAGAAAATGCAATCACAGTCTCAACCACAGCCACAACTAACGCAATCCGATCTCATCACAGACGAGGAGCTGGATGAGCTCAGTTCTGCTGTGAGTACCATGAAGACTATGGCCACAGATATCGGCTACGAGGCTGACAGACAGAATGAGAATATTGAGGAAATGTCGCACATGGTGGAGGGTGCAACACACAGGATAAAAAGCAGTGATAAGAGAGTGAAAAAGTTGACATAACATGCTGGAGTTCCATAAGATAAAAAAAGAAAGACGTCTTTCACTGGTTGTAAAATTGAATTTTCAGCTGGATTGGATTTTGATGGGCGATTCATGTAAGACTTAGTTCAGTGACTAAGTTCAGGGATGCTTGGTATGCATCATACCAGATAAGTGTTCTTTACCAGTGAAGAATAAAAAGAAGTTGCCATTGTATAAAAAGAAATACAGTATAGGATAGAAAAATAGAAAATGGAGAAGTGGAGAGAGATACTACATTTTGGAGGGTGTTGGTCTCAGAAAGTATGTAAAAGTAAACTAAGGAAACCAAAGTATAAGTCAATATAAATAAGATGCATTTCATAATATTCAGTGAATTGGAGCATTTTTTTGCTAAGTTGACTAGCTTCCTATTAAAGGGTAAAATGCCAAATAAATGGACATGCTGAACTTGATCATTTTCCATGTTCAAGAGGCTCTTTGGAGTATTGTAAGTGTGTGTGTAAATACCAAATCTTTTCTGACACAAGCTGACAAAATGTTATCTATCAGAATATGCCTATGGCAAGTTCTGACATTGGTTTTTCGGATGTTCTTATATGAGAATGATCGAAACCTCTCGTTGAGCCTTTTTTGAGCCCACTCCCACCCCACACTAAACCCACTTTTTAAACCAAAGGTCTCACACAGAGTAGAATGTCTTGTCAAAAAACTTCAGGATAGTTCTCCAGCATTAAGTGATACCAGACTAAACGCATCAAACAGTTCCCTGCATTATGCCTTGCTTGCCAGAGTTGGGTTTCTGAATTATTATTCAAAGATATTATCTTCCTATTAATTTAGCATAATCATATGCTGTTGCTCTATGCCAGGTGATCTGAATGCTTTTATTTAGTCATATTATTATATTTCTATGTTACTGTTTAATATTTTTTGTTAAAAAGCAGCAAGGTCATGGTAAAAATGTCCCAAAGTTTTTTTCAACTGTTACTGCTGTTGTTGAGTCATAAATTGTGTCTGTAAACAAGAGAATTTGCTTTTCTAAAGTTTTCTTTGTAGTCATTTGCATTTGTATTTACAAATGTCTGCTTGTAAAAATATTGCCTATAAAGAGGCATAAAGTGAAGAATTAATGAGTACCTGAACTTTTTGCCCAGTTTCAAGACCATATTTTGATATACTTGAAACCAATTTCTGCAAGTGGTTTGGTAGAAATGAATCAGTTATGTTGTTAAAATGCTATTTTTGCCATTGATTAAGATCTGCAATTGACTCTTGGAATACTGATTCAAAATAAATAAATGGTTTTAAAAATCATGTGGGTTTAAAACCACTACAGTCTCATATGCAAGCATTCAAAATATTGATGCATGTTGAGAGCAAAAGGCACATAAAACACAAAAACTGTTTAAATGATAAAATCAACAATTTCATTTTATGCAAAATTTTATTTTATTCTTTAAAATCATGGATGGAAAATACATTTCTTAAGTTCAGTAATAATTACATAATTATTGACATTACATAAACAGCATACCCCCCCAACACAGTTCCACACATAACCTACAAGCATGCTATGATCTGCTTCATTATAAAATTAAATAAACACCAATCCCACGAACATTTTCAACATTATCATACAACATAACATTACAACAACATTTGTCACATCTTGGCTTTTTGCAAAGCAAATATTGCAGCAATCATTATAATGTGTTAAATTAAATATTAACTTACAATTTATTACTAAATATCAATATCAATATTCGAGTGCCTTTTCAAAAGAGGATCATTGTTAGGAAAATGATAATAAAATTGAGACAGGTAACATAAATGACGTCCTATTATTCCCTGTGGATTTTCTTAATTAAGTAACTTCTTTTCCTGCAAGGTTCATTCGATTTGCAACCATGGTTGTTTTTGTTTTGTATTGGCCATTTCTAAGTACATTAAGTAAAATTTTCTTGCTTTTAATACCCAAATCAGTACATTTTGTAAAAATTTGTTCAAATATCACTTTCTATGCTAAAGTGAGATCACACTGGAAAAGTTTAACCAAATGTCATGTCATTAAAACGTGAAGGTCATAATATGAAGGTCACTGATACAACAGTTGCTTGCCTCACTGAGTAGTGCTGCTGTTCTCAACACTTTTTATAGGTTACTCAATAGATTATTCATGTAGAATAAATTGAAAGCAATCCCCTCTCCATGAATTAATCCCGTTTCTGAACATTTTTGATACAAAACCCACCCAAATTTCTGTTAGAAAGAGAGAAAGTCCTCCAAGGGGTTCAAATTGCTATGTACTGACATCATAGAGACTGGTTCAGAACTGGTTTCACTTTGCCAGCATGAACTCCGGTACTACACAACTACAAAAGGTAACTGAATGTTCTTTCCATCAATACAACATTTCACACAGCCTCACTTACAAACGCCTGTGACTTAAAATATGAATCACTTAGTTGTTAAGAGAATAAGCAATGATACAATTTAATAAATTCTAATATATGATCAACAAGCTTCAACACCCTGGTCCAGGCATTTATATCCACAGCTGATGAGCTAATAAATATTTATATCAATATATATACAGTCCGTATAAAACCTACAGTTCCCACCACCACCACTGGGGTATAATATAACAATATTGATAACAATTAAAATCACTGGTCTGTGCCCCCCCCCCCCCACCCCCTATTCCCACCACCACCAAGTCACGAATGATTCTTCTTGTTGTCATGTTCAAAGTCAGAATCACACCCTACCCCTAAGATCATAGAGAACCACTTTCCCCAGTCACCATATCAAATATGGCCTTATGTGAAAGACATCTCACTGCTTTGTATATTACATCACTGACTTTGAATGAAAGACATCTGTCTCTATATAGTGTACTGTTATCACCATCAACATGAAACGTTTAACCCTGGATTTCGTAAAATTGGGATGAATTTGGTTGGTTTTTGCCTTGCCTCTCAGTTAAACCACGTGTTTTCAAGCGGGTCAAGTCTCTGCTGCTTCCAGTTTCAGTTAAGTCCTATTTAAAACCTAGTCAAAATGGACTAAAGCTATAAGCATGATATTATCATGATATTAACTTCAAGTGGAATAAAGAAATTTAGCAACTTGTTTACAAAGTGGGTCAGTAAAATTTATCCATGGTTCATGCAGGTAGAGATATTAAGGACACAAATGCATGGAGAATCAGTTTTCATTTCTACCTTGAATGCACCAATAAATGCAGTTCACTTATCCTTTTCATGAGACTGTGGCCACAGTATCTTCTCCATGTTTGATTGTTGCACCTAAAAATTACTTGCTTGGAAATTGTCTCAAATTATTCAAAAAATTATTTGAAATTTAGTGAATGTTTTAGGTTGAACTCAGAATGACCAGGTGACCACAATTCACTGGTTTTCTCGTCAACTTTTTAAAACATATTGCATAGAAGTTGCAGCACAATAAGGCCTATCTTTTTGTAAACTGCATCTTGGCTTATTTTATGTATGCTTACTACACTTGCTTCACGATAAGCAAAATACAACGCAAAATCTATCTAAAACTCATAACCATTTGAAAGAATCTGCATCAGGGCTTTTTTGGTCCATTATTTCTTCAATTATTAACTGATAAGACTATTACTTCCAATTCAATGTCCAATCTATGATCTTCTTACATAAGGTACATGTTAATTTAACTACTTTGGTGTTCCTTCACCAAAACTGTTATGTGGAACACACGTTAGTATCTAAACACTGTACTTCTCCATATCAACAGCACAGTGCCATCACAGTTGTATCTTATGTTAGCTATCTGATTTCCAGTCCACGTTCCTTCTGATGTAAATTACTCTGGCATTAATATGTTGTGCCTAATTAATCAATTAAAACTCATCTGAGATAGTTACTTAAAACTCGAGCTGTGGACACGGTAGGTTCGAGCAATGCTTCTTCCAGACTTTTACACCACATGTACATGATCCATTACAAAAGTACATTTATTTATATGTGCGTAGACCCCCTCCAGAAGCTATCCACCATACTGAATATGGCTGCCATTATGGTTTTGTTATCCTGATTAGGTTTTTATACAAAATCCCCAATTTGCAATAGACTAGAAACTGCTAAGACTATAGATGCTTGTCACCAAAATTTTTATTCCAGTCTATGTCGCTCATTATCCACTTCTGGGATTGATCTCCTCTGCAGGGACCTGAAATAAGACGACTCAGGAGGTAATAAAGATTGGGCTTAAAAAGTGACATCTGACCTCTGTTAATTAATAATCAATAATGGAAATCACACTTATCATTCACAACTTCCAGCATTACAAGTACCAGAGAAATGTAAATTTGAAAGAAGCTGAGGCAAATTCAATAATGTTGAATACTTATTTCCCATTCAGTTGAATTAAAGAAAAATCGATACATGATGTCAATTTTTCTTGTTTTAATGTACATGCATCAAATTTGTAAATTGGGGTGAAAAAACTTGCTACATAACATTTATCCTTTACATCCACTGATTGAGCTTGTCTTGCAAGATCTTACCTATAGACGGTGAATCTTTGGCAGATTCCTGTGGAGCACCTAAACATTGGTTGGAATTTACATGACGAATTTCTTCAGTCTGAAAAAGATAACATGAACACATATGAAATCATGACAAAAACATTATACCACAAAGCTAGTACACATCACAAACATTTTAAAATTACAAATAAGCATTTATTTCAGTGGTTTCATTTTTTATATAGTTCATTTTATTCACTTTTTAGTTTTTCCATATAAAAGACAAATTACTGACAATCTTAAATTAGAAAAATATTGAAATGTCACATGTTCAATAATGATAACTTTATCAGAAATGCATCCATATAAGAACATGGGTTGTAATTATACATAAAACACAGCATATGATCAATATTTGTTCATCTACTTGTCTAGAAATTAATGCTAAGAACAACATTAAAAAGCACTACAAGCAAAATTGTGCAATTAAAAAAGGCAAATAAAAATTAGTCAATCAAAGAAATAGTAAAAGATGACACAAACTGATTTCACCCCAGTGTCCATATCAATATATCAAAGTTTCACTATTTCTATTTCAGCACCGGCCAGTTTTATATACAATACTCGTAAGCAACCTCATTTAAAATTTGGTCAGATGACATTTGCTACTAATAAAAAAGAAAAAAAAATCCAATGCAGGAATTGAAAGTTTGAAACTTTAATTTATTAATATAAGAACTGCGCAGTATTCACAGCACATGACTGTCACATGAAACATGGGTTATCTGGAGCCCGCCCACCAACAACTAACATTTCACCTCTGCCACGTGCCTTTATTCACTCTGTGAACTTGGAATATATTTTTTGGATTTAAGAAGACACCTGATCACCTTTGAAAAATATCTGTCCACCAATCATCAAAAACGACGAAATTATTTGTATATGCCATATTTTCATGATGATCTAACCCAAGTCATCCTAAATAACATCTGTACAACAAACATTTGGCAAGCTTTCTGAAAATGTTGTTCTCTTTACTAATAGAGTGCCAGCATCTCATTAAAGAGTGATTTTGTTTTTACTTTAAGGAATATGTGCATCCTTTAATAATATGCAAATATTCAAGAAATTTCTCGAGCTAAAAAAAAATATGAACCTTTGGCAAAGTAATGAATAAACACGTAAAACCTTAAAGCTCTTAAACCTTATCCAACCAAGTTTTCTTCCTTCACCCTGTAGGTTAATGACAATTGCAAAAAAAAAAAAAAAAAAATTTTGTAATGTCTTAAAAACCAGGACGATCCTGTTCAACCCCCAAACCTTTCAATTTGAAAAAAAAAAAAAGACTTAAAATGTTGGCCACCAACTTGTCAGTTACAATCCAGCAATGTATTTCTGAAGCCTTGTTATCCGTCACCAAATATCTATGACATGGCATAGTATAATATATATGATATCATAGAGATAAACTCCCAGCAGCCTACTACTGAGTAGCATATCTAGACTATGGCAGGTAAGGCACCCATGTTCTGGGTGCCATGTATAGAGGGCACCACTGACAAGCTTTTCTCAACTTTTTAAGATGTCCGATGTTAAAACAGGGGCCCAATTTATATCAGTGCTTGCCATAGGTCCTAATTTTCTCATAATCACACCCTCTTCTAGTGAACTATAATAATGAAACCTGTAGCCCTTCTCCCAGTTCAATACCTCTCTATCATACTTCCAACGTTGTGCACCACCATGTCCGTTACAATTCAGCATCTTAATGTCGTAATGCAGGCCCATACGGAAGGGCTCTAGACAAAGCCCATCCGTCATAATTTCTTCTTTTCTGGTATAAGAGAACACCTAGAAGACCAAGAGAAACGGAAAAAGACAATCAGGAAACGGAAATGCTACTAAAGAGGTGCAGTGAGGTTGGTCCCCTGTGCCTATGTGAGAGAGGCAGCCAGCTACACAACGGTTTCCATGCCTGGAGGAAGAAAAGAGAGCAACTCTGGTGGCAGTGGTGGGATCTCGGTGGTGTTTTTATTCCCACCCGAATATATACATAAGTATACCTCCTTGTTATATTCCCAGAGTTGGTTTCCGCCCATTCCGTGGCATGAAAATAGTTTGACGGGACCGTTGATGGCGGACACGTCCAGACAGAGGTCGTCCATTTGTAATGCCTTCTTCTTTGTGAATGAAAATATCTGCAAGAGAGAAAGCATGAGTTCTATGGGTAAAAACACCATCACCAGGGGATACCTAACAATACAGAGATTGTGGGATAAATCAACAGGGTGTACTAGAGAGATGAAGCAAGGATAATTTGGCAATTAGGAGGGAGGGTGCAAGCCCCAGAAAACTACACAACAAAAATAGAATATTTAGAGACTCAGATTCCAATATTGGATTAATAATATTGTTAATTATTATTATAAATAATTCAAAAACTTGATATAATAGAACAAAAAGGGTGAGATGACAGTAGGCCCTACTTATAATTGTTGAAATTTGTTGGACTTCACAATTTGTTTGATTTATAGAAATTGAGCAGAACATTTTAGGAAGCAAGGACTTTTATTAATGTAATACTGGGCAAATCAATAAACAATGATTAAATGAAAAAAGTTAAACAATTATTCAATACAGTACTATGGTCATATTATATGAAAAAGATTTATCTGAAAGTTAAAATGAATTGGTTTTATTTTGTCAAAAAGTTTTTTTTTTTATAACTATCAGTAAAAAAAATGAACAGTGAAACATAATAGTAACTGCTATTATCATAAAAAGAATATATACTTACTGGAAGAAAAAAAATGCAACAGACTCTGCATAACTAAGATATTTTGGGACCAGGAAACTTCTTCAGTTATGTTAAAATTTAAGACAATGTTCACATGCCTTTCAGCTAATATGATAAAAATCCATCCCATCTGACTTCTGTGAGATTATATATTTGTTACAATTTGAGAAATGTAATGACAAGATAAGCAGAGATTGCTGCATTTTAAGCACACAAAAATGTAAAACATTAACAGCCTAATCACTATACAATTATGCCTGAAGAAGACATTAAAACAAAATTGACATAACACATTGATAATTTTACATTAAAAGGATAACTAGGAAATATAAAGCACTGAGATACTACAATAAAATGGTTGTTCTAATAAATTCATTTGGAATTTAAAAAATGTGAACTGTTCATCCAAAATCTAATAATTTTACCAATGGAATGGTGCATGCACATTAACAATAACAATTTGAAATCAAATAAGTTTTCACTTAAAAAATATATATTGTAAATTACGTATTGAAAATGAAAATAATAATACAAAATACCTGCAATACTTTATTTTAGAAAATTCAAAATGGCTGACAAATTTAAGACGGCCAACTGAGTATGTACTTTATGAAGACATATATTTGTGATTACCTGATTTCCTCCCATGCCATGACAAGATACCACCCCCACCTTCTCTCCAGCCTTGCGCCCCATGGTGTCTATACATTGGCCTGTTTGCTTATTTCTTATCTAGAACAAATGAGATGAAGATAATTAAAAAAAAAAAAAAAAAAAATTAATAACAGTATACGTGGTGAGATTTAGATGCCATTTCCATTGACACCAATGGTCTATGTAGATCCACCCAATCCTGCCGGGACTCTCACTTAGTGCAATCAGCCTCCTCTTCTTTCCAACATATTGGTATAATCATCAGCTTTTTGTATTCTACTTAATGCCAGGAGGCAGCTTGTCATTCAGTTAAACAAATTGCAGTCATTCAGAGTCTCTGCAGAATTGGGTCAATCCACATTGACCGATGGTGTCCATGGGGCGCTACATTGTTTTCATGCATGTGTGTGTGTGTGTGTGTGTGTGTGTGTGTGTGTGTGTGTGTGTATGTGTGTGTGTGTGTGTGGGTGGGGGGGTGTATATGGGCAAGTGTGAGCATGTACAGCCTAGCATATGGGATCCTAAATACAAAAGATACATTTCAAAATAGAAGAACATACAATAACATCCACTTACCTCTCCTAAAGAGTAATAATCCAAAGGCATCTGGGACTCTGGGTATATATGTTCTAGATACCATCTAAAACTCTTGCATTTTAATCTTTCTCTTAATTGTTTTCTCTCTGTCACATCTCCAACATCTGTATTTTTTACACCTAAAATATAAAGCAATACCATGCATCTTTCCAATTCACATTGACCTTCAAACACCAACATTTATCAACAAATTACAACAAAAATTATTCACAAGTGTCATCCAACAATCTTATTCTCCTGAACACCAATGACACTTAAAATGAACAATTCTTTCACTCCAATGATAAGAACATTTTTTTCAATATTTTATGTTCTGAATAAAAAATCAAATCAGCAACAAAGATTTTGTACTTGATAAAGACCTTTACCTTGAAAATCATTTAACCACAGAGTCAAACAGCCTACATCAATTTAAAATTTAAGTTAAAACTAATCAAAACATGTTAGCATTATATTAAAGGTCTGTGACTTTACAAAAGCAAGCATTGATGTTGTGCAGTAAAATAAACAAATTAAAACGAAACACAGAAAAAAACATTGAATAATATTTAAACAATATTTCTGAACATGCTTCTACAATCACAAAAAATTCTGACAATCAAAAATTCACAACCAGAGAAAACACATGGCTAACAAGACAATTACACATGGAATGCATATGAATTATAAATTATTCTAGCAATAAAATGCATCAGTGGTCATAAACAATGGTTTTTCTCAATAAAAATATAAATATATAAATGAATAATAATCAGCAAACATTAGGTGCATTAGGGGATAGCATTCATATCAATTAAATCATTTAACATGAGAAATTCCCCACTGTGAGACAATGCAGCACACTAAAACAAAGTAATGCATTTTATCACTTATTACAACAAATAACATAAAAGAGAGAGAGAGAGAGAGAGAGACTTGACTTTTAGATTATCAAATATTCAGTAGCCTTTACTTCTTATAATACACACAACCAACCTGGGTTTATTTTATAAAAGAAATCTTTATAGTCATCCAACCAAACTTCCACAGTTCTCATTGCATTGTGGTTTAAAATCTTCACCACTCCACCTGGCCAGGAGTACGGGGATACTTTACGAAACACGTGCCCTACACGGGAGCACGTGGATATAACGATTTGCCCCCCACACATCCAGACCTAAAAACAACATCAAAGGAAACAAAGAGGCAGTGAAATAAAGGCTTGACAACATAGAGGATACAATGACATATCAAAGTAGAAAGGGATGGCTAAAAAACAGCCAAAAGCTCAATAGATTAGCCAGTCATACCTGCAAAGAAGATTCATGCATATTAATATAAAGTCTTTGTTGAAAAAATTGCCAAGTGGTGACATGCCTGATCACATGCTCCAAATTAGCCAATCAAACAACATGTAAATGTAAAGCACAAACCACATACATGCAGCCATGCTTCATGATTTAGACATTATAATACAGGAAATACTTTAAAGTACTACTAAGTAAGGGATTTATTGAGCCCCATTAGAACAAAAACTCAAAGTGATAGTTGTTGGCACCAATGGCCTTCAGACAAAATGTGTCCATTATTTACCATCAGATGGCACCAGTAGTATCAGGCATAAACTTTTTAAACCATGGGGGATGTCGAAAAAGAAAAGACCCAGACATTGTGAACCTTGCATGAATGTACGTCATGTACACTTGGGAGTTACACCATGTCTGAGCCTCTTGTTTTGATTGGTGCCTGTCATAATACAAGTCAATACACTGGCAGTCAGGAAAGCCTGTGAGTAAGGCATCCTAGTGTACTTTGCAGGGGCGGATTAAGGCCGTCTTCTGGGTCTTCCAGAAGACTGTCAGATTTTCAAGTTTACACTGACAGGCATGTTATTTTTTGCTGTCAGAAGTCGGTCAAAAGTGGAGGATGGATCTACCATGATAATTTGGAAGACTGGCAAAAAATATCTCTGGATTCACCCCTGCTTTGTATTAACCTTTTTCATCTTTTCCGGAAATGGAAATTGCATTGTGGGTAGGGTAGCCCTGCTACGTCGAAACACTTACAGTGGTGCTAAAAACCATGGCTGGGTTTACGTGCTTTTTGTCCCGCTGCTACAATAACAGTAAGCGAGATCGACACATGAGGTTTAATAAGTTCCCAACAAACCCGTTAGAATGAAAAATATGGTAGAAAGAAAGAAAGAAAAATATAGCAGGTTTGGATCAAAAGCAGGGCACCGCGTTTGCGCTGAACATTTCGAAGGCGGGAAGAAAAACTATAATATGAGGAGATCAACGGCGCTTTAATAAAAAACAGAAATGCTTAGTAAATCAACGGATATAACGAACTATCGGCTAATAGAACTCGGTGGTAAACAATGCGAGAAAAAAAACATTATAAAGATATGAAGAAAAAATTGAAGAATAGGCCGGGGCCTAAAAATAAAGAAAAGACTTCAAGCATGAGATTATGGTAAAAGAAAGTAAAAGTTGTTAAGTTTTACACGGGGATTCTACTTACAAAAAATTCAAGAACTTTCACGACTCTTTGTGTAACAACAAAGAGAAGGTTTGAAAAGTTTTGTATGTAATGCCATTTTTGTGTGTGTTTTATTGATAAGTGATCATTTTAAATGTAGTATGCCTATCACAGGTTTTAGTCTCTCATAACCCTTAGTAGGGTGGGTTCTTTTTTTTTTAACGTGATATAAAAATTTTATTATTATGTATCCAGTCCCGTATACGTATTACTGATTTGTACAAACGGGGCTAATATTATCAAGATCAACAGAGACATACGAAGAAGAAAGTACATCGGCTCTTGTTGAACGCGTTATCGGCAACTTTAATTATCTTCTGGGAAAGAGTCGAGAATTCCTGTCTTACCTATTTAACACTTAAAATTAGAAGGTTTTAATTACAGAGGAAAGGTCGTAGTTGTGGCCGCCCCCCTTACCGAACAATTGAACAAGTAACACCTGATGCCTTATCAGGTACCAAACGATTAAATCAGTTCACCGACGAACGATCTGCGTATCAGTTTTACCTGTATACACAGTAGGTACCGGTCAAACAATGCAGGGAATCTTTTCATTTTATCACTTCAAAAATATCTTAAGACATCCTTCAAACAAGACATAAAAATCGTTAAGAATTGACACTGCCGGTAAATGAGGTGATATCGCCACAGCTTGCATATGTAGGCCTACATGTAATAGGCCTATTGTGAAGACGTAGGCCTACGCACCTGTCCACACTCTTGAAAGCTGTGTACGAGTCTACTAGCTATTTTGATTTTATACATAAAAAAATAACGAGTCTCTTTCGCATATATTTATTATCAGAAGCATTTAAAAGAACTCTGAAGCTTTAGTTCGTCATCACTATTGACAGCGCAGCCAAGGCTCGGACGCTTAGGTGAAGTCTAGTTGTACAGCGCATCGTATTTAAACTGAGAAAGAAAACATTTAATTGCTTGATTCTCCGTCCAAATAGATGTATCTTGCCTACAGTTTACGCATTTCTGTGCTTCAGCCACCTTTTTAGTTTGCCAGAAAGCAATGCACGCTTCATACGACCTTTTTATATGCGCACCTTGTACATCATCTACACCTAGCATTGCCATGCTGGAAACAGCAGAGGACCACCATGACCCCTGTGGCGCGCGGTTCCTGTCATGCGCACTTCGTATTTCCGCAAAAGATGAAAAAGGTTAATATGTGCACTTCACATAAACCTTGCTGACGCCGTGTCAGCTAACTATCAAGGTGTTCTTGCATTGTAAGAACATTGCATTGTAAGAACATTCACAATCTCAACTACCCATATACAGGAGCATTCAGACAAACTAAACTCAGACTATCATGTCTCTAGATGATCTCATTAATTCAGAGGAATTACGGAAATTAATTTAATTTTGATGATCTAAATCCTCCATCTTCCAGTTAAAACCGACTTACACTAATTAAGTCATTCAATTTACTTGTCTGGTAGCTTCATTTAGACCTTATGTCTGGCTTTTTTCAGTGTGTCTCAATGCTCTTTCAGATAATTTGAGATGGTGAGATGGAGGGAGAATCACATTATTATGACTCATGCAACAGAGATGAGCTAGTGCTACCAATTATACAAACGTGCTGTCACTGTTAACACTGTCTGTCAATCTTCAAAAGGGAAAATCCATTCTTATTCAATTCTATTTTTCAAAAATCGTGAATAAAATTTACTCCAACTTATTCAATTTTATCCCATCACAATGCAAAAAATAAATTTTTTACCCTCAACAATTAACCAAATGGATTTCCTCCTTTACAAAAAGACAGAATTTGTAGCATTCCAAGGACAGCAAACTACCTGGATTAATCTTAAAATAAAAATCCTTCCAGTTATCCATCCAGACCTCTATTAACCTGGCATTGTTATGGTTAATGATATGACCCGTGCCACCAGGGAAAGTATAGGGCGTTGCTTTGCGAAACACGTGCCCAACATGCGAACACGTGACTATTAGTAGAGTTCCACCACACATCCAAATCTAACACAGCAGATGGAAGGGGGAGAGAGAAGAAAGAGCGAGGATGAAAAAATTGGGTAATTTGATAAGGTAACTTTTGTTTTTTTTTTTTAATTTATAAAACAGGTGGACATGGCTTGGCCATTAAAAATTTAAATTTTCAAACAAAGATGACTGCAAGTGTTATACAGTATTTTGTGCAATCTGCGACAGTTATAAGAATGGAGTTAGTTCAGAAGGTGAATTAGTAAAATTGTTAACTTAAAACCATAAACGAATTAATATTTGCTTTTAGGCATATTGTTATATAGTCAAAAATGTTAGTGGTCTAATTATGAATTATAAACAATTGTGCAAACATATATCACCTGTATGGTGAAAAACATTGATATCTTTCNCCTAATGCTATGTACTGATTGAAATTTGTTAAAATAAAGAAAGAAAGAAAGGGATAAAGAAAGAAAGAAAGAAGGAAGGATAAATCTAGAAAACGCTATGCAAACTCCTATACTAAAAATGTAAGTATAAATTCTATTTGGCAGTTACAAGCCCATACCTACAATCTAAAACACTGATCTTAATTTTTTTGACTGATGATCTGTAAAGTTACTTTTCTTCGTTAAATAACAACATGAATTTAGGAACTGAAGCTAAAAGAAAGATAACCACCAACCAGTGCTGCCCTCTATCTGCAGGAACAATTCTGCAGAACTCTCCCTAATTAGATAACACAGTCTGAAACTCAACAAATCTATTGGGTAATCACATTACTGTGAAATGGGATCCAATTCTGGCTTCTTAAATGGCAAATGGCTGTGCTCTCAGAAATTGGTTTTAGCAGCACACAAGACTTATTATCTGAAAGAGAAATATCACCTAAAAAGAGTCTTGTTGATGAGATATCATATTCTATTCTCAGTTGTGAAACAGCATGCGAAATAGCATCTTTGACAGGTATATGACTAGATTCAAACTTAGGGAACAGCCTGAAGGACGAAGACTCTAGTCTTGCGTGACGCAATTCCCAAATTTAAAAATGCCAGTATTTGATGCCGCTTGCAATCTACTTTTACAACATAAGCGGTTCCTGTAAAATCAAGTCCCTCTTGGCTAATGGTACCTAGAACAAGGAGTTTATCACTTAACCTTGCAAACCCTAATAAAGTTGATGAGTGCTATTTGTTCTACTGCCGATATTAACTGATTGACATCATGAAAAACCCATTCCTGAAGGTTTTTGTGAAATATGTGATTGAAGTGGCCTGGATGTTGTTAAAAAAAAAAGTTCCCTTAACATTGGTATCAAACCCCAAATAAACCTGAGCTATTCTAAATTAAAGCGTGACAAATATCTAGAGCCAAAGTCCCAGATATACATGTCCCATATAAATGTGAACCTGGGCCCTTCTTTAATGATATTTGCTGATCAGAAGAAAAAAACTCAAATACACGACTTGAAAGCAAGGTGTATGGCACATCCACATATCCTACATATACATACACATAGTATTTCAGTGCTATAAATCACAAAGTATTACATGTATTCATTAGGCAATCATTTTTCTTTGATTGAATTAAGAGAGAATTATGTGTAATAATAATGGAAATAAGTGATGTAATAGTGGAGAAAAAAACACCTATTTTACAAAGAAAATGAAAGCCAAAATTCAAAGCAGGTCAGGTAAAGTAAAACTGAAAAACAATGGTGGTGCCATTAATACTGGTACTTTTATAGATAGTTGTGGAAAAAAAATAAATGTGGTATAATACCTCCATCTCATGACTTCCAACAAAATATAGACTGCATAGGAAATGATTTTTATCAATGGTGCATGTAACAACAACATCAAAGGACTGACTTAAAGATTAAGTGGCCCCCTTTCCATTTAACTGTAGCCCTCACAACCAAAAGTTCAACTAATAGTATCTTATCATAAGCATATAAATATTCTAGTCAATATTTAGACCAAGCCAGCTCAACTGTTATATATATTCTTTTTATTTGAACTGTTTCGCAATGATATGAAGAATTGTTCAAAGCTATGATCATGATTCTAATGCAGATCCAAACATTTCACTGGCTGAGTACTAAACAGACCCTCTGACACCAACAGAAACAAAATCTGATTATGGACGAATAAGTAACGAATATAATTTATCCTGATTGTATTTTCATCGATTCTATCATCATTATTGTTTTACTGTAATCATATTATGGATTTTTATAACGTATCCAGACAGTGCGTAATATTCAATCTGAATTGGAAAAGAAAGGCAAAACTGAAGCGTCAGAAAGTGGCCTTTTTTGGCAAAAAATAAAAATAAATAAATAAAAATAAATAAATAAATAAATAAGTTTAAAATAAAAAAATAGAAATAGAAATAAATAAATAAATTAATTAAATTAAAAATTTGGAGAGTAACATATTCAGTGTCATTTTATGTCTGGAAATAAATTGCCAAAATCCAAAGTGTTAAATTTAGGGAAATGAAAAAAAAAAAAAAGGGACAGGTTATTTTTTTTTAACTTTTTGTTTGTTGTCTGAATGAAAATTGTCAAAATAATGTTACTTACAGCTAGGTTAAAATTAACATGAGTTTCTGACCTAATAAAAATTATAAAAGAAATTTCAATATAGCAAAATAAATAAATAAATAAAAATAAAATAAAATAAACAGCCTTCTTAGCCGATCTGCAAGTAAAAAAGGTTAAAAAGAAGGCTCCGGCTTACTAGTATCAGAGCCAACTGAATGTCTGAGGCTATGTGACACATGTACCACAAACATGATTAACAACATTCCATAACACCCTATTGTGTACAAATCAATAGAATAAAGGACACCTAGGGCTGGGTGCTACATTACCTCACTGAAAATGAAACTCTTCTATTTCATAATACTGTTCCCTCTTAAAATAACTTGTTTTGTCAAACTTGGAAACAAAGGCTATGCACATAAAAAATACACTGATAGGATTACTAGTACATATTTTTCTAAAGGTGAAAATGGCTCAGAAGACAGTGTTTGACTGATCACAAATGACATTTTCAAATTTCACCAGACATACTGAAAAAGCAGATCTTTAAGGAGCAAACTTTCCAAGACAAAAATGTCACCTCCTGTTACAGGAAACATAAAAGACAAAAGAAAAGTCATAAAATCAAAATGCAATAAGAACGTCACCATCATCATGAAATTCAAATTACTTTCAACCCCAAAGCGTACATATCAAACCATTATGGGACTGGCATGCAGCAGTATGTCTAAAAGTCAACTGAAATGTTTTAGAAGTTCATGATGTCAGTGTAACATGTTAAGTTTCATGACAATGAAAAAATACTGTCAAGCTTACTCTTTCAATTGGGACATATTTTATTCTTTTTTTTTCAACATTTTATTAGCCTTCAAGGGGGAGGGGGGGCTTTAATAAGTCTAAATTCTCTGTCACACACACACACACACACACACACACACACACACACACACACACACACTCTGTTATCCAGCTGTTTCACCTTTTAACCTGGCCCGGATCAGTCCACTTCTTTTCCCCATCCTCTCCACATGGACAGGCACTGGTAGCCGAGCTACTTCACGCTCTAGTTTCTTGCCCAAAAAATCTGAAAAAAAAAAAAATAATAAAATAAAATAATAATAATAATAATAATAATAATAAATAAAATAAATAAATAAATAAATAAATAAATAAATAAATAAATAAATAAAATAAAATAATAAATGACAGATACATGATTGATAAGATTTTAAAACAAACAGGAATGAAAATTTAAGAAGTGTTTATTTATGCAAAATGTTTGTTCACATAATAAAGATTACACTGACACTGATTCATAGCTTTGCATTGTATTGTAAGGCATGGCAGGCTGCAAAGGTCCTTCTAGCAAAAGGGAATAATTCAAAATAAGATAACTACTATTTCACTAATAGTCTGTTATCTTTTATCTCCTATGAAATCAATTTGCATTTCCTTTGTCATTTCCACTGCCAGGCCTTGTAACCTTAAATGCAAGTAAAACCTGCTGATAGCCACTAGGGCGTACAACGAGATAATGTAAAATCAAACAATTTATTATGCCAGATGGATTCATTTGTCAGGGGACCTGAATTGTTATAACATGAAAATGCTTCTTGGTTTCCAATACCCCACAGCAAGTGGGCTGATAGGGATAAGATAACTTCACATTGACTGTTATCATGACGTTTGTTCACACTCTCTCTCTCATATGTTATTTGTTGTTATGTTATTCATGTGATAATTTAATGCATTATATTGTTGTTATTGTCTGCATTATTTTGTGCTACATTGTCTCACAGTGGGGAATTTTTCATGTTAAATGATTAAATTGCTATGAATGCGATCCCCTAATGCACCCTATGTTTCCTGATTATATATACATATTTTCTATTGAGAAAAAACATAGTTTATTGCCACTGATGCATTTCATTGCTAGAATATTGTACGGCTCAACATTTAAGCTGGCCTGCTGGCCAGGGCCACTGAAAAAGTGAATTTCAGACCTGGGGTTACTGGCCTGAAGGGCAAATCAAATTCAGTGCACCAGTAATACGTAATATTTACCAGACTTCAGTGGCTTAAAGGGCCAGGGGAGAAAAAAATCACGTGTCAAGCACTGTATTGTACCAACCTCTCTCGCTGGCATCATCCACAAGGATAATTTCCTCTAAAAGATGGCGTGGTGAGCGTATGATGATGCTGTGAACAGTGCGCAGGAGGGTGGACCATGCCTCGTTGTGGAACACAATAACGACACTTGTCGTTGGCAGCTTGTCTACCGGGTAGTTCTTCTTCTTACAGCTGTAATTATAAGAATAAGAAGAAGAAGATAAAGAAATATGATTACAATAAGTGTTGTATAATAAATGTGCATAAATTGAAAGATATTCCAGTATCAAAAACCTCAAATTTTCACAGATATATCAATCCTTAAACCTGATTCTGAGTTAAAAATTCCAAGTTTCTGAGTAATTCTCATTGTGTGGGGACAGAAAAACATTATCTTTTTTCTATATATGTAAATTGAGGTTGTATTCTGAGTGAGTCTTCAGGACAAGTCGACAGGTACTAGCAAACAGACCAATCCGTCTTTGAGTTACTAGAGACAAAAGGGGACCTTTTACAATAAACCTGGAAAAAACTGTGAGCGCATGCATGCATGCATGCTTGTGTGTGTATGTGTATGCGCGCTGATGTGTGTGTGTGTGTTTGGGGGGGGGGGAGTGGGGAACAGGGAGAGTAGTAAGGAAAGAGCGAAATACAACAAATACAACACCTCAGTATCTAGATTACCTGAAGACTTTGATGTCCAACTTACCCCTCCATCCTCACATCTGGCAGTGTCCTGTTCAGTGCTATCATGTCACTGGCCATCAAGTTGAACTGATTGATTTTGAACATCTCCTTGGACTCTGCCTTCTTGTCCTCTGGAATGATCACAGGTTTGCCCATCTCTCCTGGGCCGTCTGGGGGCTTGGTATTAAATACTGGAAGAGATTCAGAGATCTGGGGATTAAATAAGTTCATCTGGGCGCAGGGTTTTTTTTCCTAGGATTAGGGCTACAGGTCATCTAAGATTATCATCTGTAATTTCCTACAAAATTTCAGGGAGTCCAAGCCATTATTAAAAAAAAAAAAAAAAAGACATCCAGCTGTCTTTAAAACCATCGGCCAGGCCATCCAGTGATGTCGGCGGCCGTCCAAATGGCGGCTAGACAGTTTGCTGGGAAAAGCCTTGTTTGGGTGTACTTTCTAATTAGCTAAGGTTAAACAAGGATAATAACACTAAGGAAGACAGTGGACAAGAAGCAGCCAAGAAATTGTTCCACAATGAATTCTAACAGCAGTCTTTGCCATCCACAATGCTTATAAGTACTACTTACAAGTAAGAGGACCTATGAATGCAAATTCTTTTAATTTCCAATAAATATTTATCACTGTTATAATGAGTGGATCAAGCATGACGATAATTGATCTTGTGCAGAAACTGGAAAATTAGCTTGATAAATATTGTGTGTTACTCAAATCGTTTATTTTATATGTAAAGGAATTAATTCCCTCCCTTTCATTTTTATAGAAACATATTCTTGTGAGTTTTACACAATTTACTTTCTGTTTATCAGTAGTTCACATTGTATATAACGGTACTTACTAGTAAGACCTTCTTAAAAGGCAATCTTTTTCCATGCTTAATAAACAATTATCATATGACAAAGTTTGTGGTCTTTGTAATGTCAGTTAGACCAGATAAAATTGGTAAATTGGCTAACAGGTGAAGCCAACCCAAATTTTGATGAAATTAAAATTTTGTACCTTTTTTTCCATATGAAAAAAACTGCACTGGGTATTGGTTCGGTAAGTGAGAGAATTTACAACTGATGTTTTATGCTTTAAAACTATCCTAAATATGGGATAAAAAGCCCTCCTTAAAAATAAAAATAATATGTCCAAGAATAATAAGAATAAAAAAAAAACAAAAAAAACTAAAATTTAGCTGCTATACTCTTCAAACATATTACAAAAAAACAAAACAAAAATTCTTCTACTAACCCTGTTTACAGAGAACTGCCACTTTTTTTCTAGTCTTACACCATTTTCCCCCAATCATCCCCCCCCCTCCCACTCAGTCTCAGTCTTTTTCCCTATGCGACTTGTTGTAAGACTTTCACTCTCATTAGATGATGACGCTTCATTTCCTGAATTTTTCATACCATGAGTTTATTCCCGGGTGGCTAATTGACCGAGTGTTAGAAAATTAGGTCGTCGACTGCTGTAGGCCTGATTCTTTATTACAGGAGTCACTTATCAATATCACACAACACATTTTTCAATATTCATTTCTCAAAATGTTGATCAATGTTACCTGTTCTCCAAATTTCTCTTTTTGATGAGAACCAAATTCACCTTTAAGAATTCTCTCAAAACCCTTTTGTCGATGTTACCGATAAAACCTTCCGGCAGGCAATCAATTTAATTTGCTTCAATGAAACGAGCATTTACCGTAACCAAATTTCCAGATTCATTTGTGTTGTGCAGCAACGCGGCAAAGACGTAGATGATTAGAAGCTAGATACAAGTGTCTTCTTGAGGAGCGGATAATTATAAAATCAATAATAGGTTCAAAGGAAAACCAAAAATTGTTCTCAGAAGATTACTGTGAGGAGATGCAGGAGAAAAATCTGTTTTTATAGATGGATGATCAATAAGTTTGTCTAACTATATTTACTATTACTAGTGCTTTCTAATTGCAGGATGGGAAAATCAAGAGTAGTGTGAGATTAAATTGCTGTAAATCAAAATCTAGTGTACTACGTAATGCATCCAATGTTAGGTCCAAAATTATGCTTTTTTAGCAGTAGAACTAAGGAAAAAAAATAAATGCATAAGATCATTATACCCATTTTCCCCATTTAAACTAAAATCTCCATCCAAGCACAACATTCTGTACACCTACCTTTAGGTATCAAATTTTGCAAGAAACCTCCCTTTTTCTGTTTCTGCTGTATTAATCCTTCATTTGTGGTAACTTTTTCCCTGGGGTTATTATTACAGTTCACTGTGGATGTATTGTTCGTGCAGTCTGTATAATACATGAGAAGGAATACGTCCAATAAAAACCACACCAGCGATGTGGCTATCACAATTTTACAATACTGGAGCTTCAGTCGACTCACCATGCTGCTGCCTGTAATTGTCCTTGACCTTTAAAATGACCTTGAAATTAGCCTAATTATGCCTACAAGGCCCTTTTTTGCTTTCCTTTCAAATCAGATAATCTTAATGATTATAGCCTGTATATAGACAGAGCCTATTAAGATAATCTTATCTGCTGGCTGGTGATCCAATTTGTGTGGTACCGAACTCCTTTCTTCTTCAGAAATGACCTTGAACTTGACCTTCTAAATAAAATATTATTGCCAATTTTTGAGAAGGTACTGGACTTCAGTGAAATAAATTTTTTTTGTAAGCTGTACTGGGATGGGAGTCTTATTTTGTTGCCATGCTGACTGAAGTCCAGATGTAGATTCTATCACAATGTTGCTCTTGTTTCCATGGTCACCACATGTTGATGTTCTATCCTGTAATGAAAAAAAATATAGAATTTGATCAGAATAATCCAATAAAATTCCACTTTCTCAGGACAGAAATACAGAAAAAGCCGAGTGCTTTCTGGAAATTCTTTGATAAGTTATAAAACTGAACGCAGACACTGTTATTTGGTGTGAAAAAAAAGTGCAGGTAATTGCACTAGCTCTAGAAAGTCTCCCTCAAAGAAATGAATTCTCTCACCACACATTCACTGTCTGCCTGAACAATGAAGAACACACAATACTCTGTTCTATATATTCAACAGTCATTCTTTTCTGAAACATACTTCCCACAGTAAGTGTCATTGAAAAACCACAGCTACAATAACATTCCACCACGGAAATTACTATTGCTGTCACTCACACATAGAACCCTTCTTTTTTTTTTTCTTTTTCATTTTAAACGTGTTCAAGCTCTCACTTTCCAAGCAGATATGAAATTTTTCAGTCACTAAATGACTCTAGATTACCACAATCATTAACTTAAATTAGTTTGTTTTCTTTTCACCATCTAAGCACTGGAAGCTACAAAATCATTTGAAATCATGTGATCACTTTTAATTTGAATAAATCAGAAAACTGGGACACTGAATAAAATCACTTTTATTGTAATCAAATCAATTCTTAATTACAATCTCATCAGGAAAGTTTAGGGAAATGACAGTTTACCATATATAAAGGTAACCTGCAATCAACAAACTGTTTTTTCTTTGTTTTAATTTAATTTGAGAATATTCTTACAGTAGCTAGTGTAGTGAACAACCTCTCTCTAGATATACAGATTGTACAGAGTATGAAAACAACCTCTTGAAATTATTCAATTGCCCACAATTGACTTCAGAGAACTTTGGTTTGTCTATGATGTTACCAGACTGATGTACATTACTAGCTAGGATTACCATCCATCTTTGTACAATAAGGACCCATTCACAACCACTTGATCTGTGGATTAACAGATCAGGGCTCTGTAACTTGAAAGCACTGCGAATTGCGATAGTGATATCACCTTTCATTTTGAGGCTATTATATGGCCCGGGTGAGTAAATCCCTAAGTTATGGAATAGAGGCGAATCACCATGCTTGCGCTCAGTTGCAATTAGCGATGCTTTTGAGTTACTGAGCCCAGATCTGCAGATCAAATATGGCCGACCTACTTACTAGTTACAGCTTGCTGCATAATTTTCAAACAGACAATGAATACATTCCCCATGGGGATTAAGCTGCAAGCGTTCAAGTGGGTCGGCCATATTTGACCCGCAGATCAGTTAGTCTGTGGATCTAATTTGGTTGTGAATGCGACCTAAGTTCCAGGCATAATGCATATAAATCACCCATCAATCTTGGCAAGGAGTCATAACTTCTCCATTACCTGCTCAGATGATATTAAAATAACCAAGTAATTTCATTCAACTAGCAGTAAGAGTGACTGACTTTTGATGTTTCTCCAAAAAAATCAATTTCTTTTCTTCTTTTAGTACGTATTCACTTCTATTCAGCAAAGTACAATGCACACTGTCAAATTACTATGACGTTGCCCATGCTTTACTTCTCAACCTAAATCTTCAATATTCTTTCCTAAAAATAAATCAGGCAGAAGGAAAGATGAAAGTGGACCTTTCAACGTAAAAAAAAAAAAAGAAAAAAAAAAAGAGAGAGAATAAGAGCACCAAAGATGCTCAACCTTATACATGGTGTTCAAGTGGCATAGCTAAAATACCCAGAAAACCAAATTTCCGGATAAATCCAGGAGGGGTTTCATTCCTACAAAAGTTACACAACACAAAAATGTCTCTGGAGATATGATTAAATCAAGCAATGTCAAACTAATGGAAAGAGCACCTGCCATTAGTGTTTCTAAAAAAAAAAATTTCCTTTCGTTAATAACCAAGCCCTGCTAATGGTAATTACCTGACACTTGAAGTGGGCTGTCTTCCCTCTTTAAGTCGTCGACTAGCACTAGACTAAAAATATCTTTTCTCAAAGTGACAGATGCCAAGAAGGTTCAACCATATTCATTAAAGATGCTGTAGTTTAAGCAATAAGCTTTAAATCATTGGCAAACTATTACTAATTATGCTGCCTGGTTTTTTCAAACGTTTCTCAGAAAATCAATTTTCGTTCAAACTGGTCAATGTGGACTTGATAACGGCAAGTACAGGACAGTCCCTGTGGTATGTTATCTTGGCTTGTTATCTTATGTGCCATATAATCTTTCACCTATGAAGTAAGCTCTTACTTTCTATTCTGAAGCTGACAGCCAATCAGTGCTTATTTTTAGCTGTAGTACTAGTAAGTTTTTTTCTGATGCACCTCAAAAGACTCATGCTATATAGTACATACTAACTGTGAAGACAAACATTTTTTAGCCTCAATGAGGTATAGTAGTTAACTTCAATTTGCCATTAAATTTTCCCCTCAATGTAGGAAACAGTGCAACTACTAGTACAGTGTTAAAACAATCAACTTGCTTGTCTCATCAATGAGCACATTCTGGACAGTGGACTAACTGATCCATGGATCAAATATGGCCTTCCTGCTTGAATGCTTGTTGCGTAATCCCCACCGGAATCTATTTAGCATCTAATCGGAAATTGAGTAGCAAAATTTGAAATTTGTTGCCATATTTGATCTGCGAATATGTTAGTCTGTGGTTCTCATCCTATCATCGACTCAAGAGAAAGATTTAAAACCAGAATCCATTAATTACCATGACATCAATAGGAACTGCTTTTTACCAGCGGGGTGAAACAATAATGTACATTTTCCATGAACATCATTTAAAATACTGTTCCTTCCATTCTGTCCCTGGGGCCTATTTAAGGCCACGAAGACACAGAGATCAATGGCATATTATCTTCAATTAATCAGACCAAAAAATAGCTTTAAGCTCTATCAAACACAGTCAAGGAAAAAAAAGGCCAATATCAAAACAGTCAATATTAAAGTACGAGCAGCAAATCCAGGAACCAGACAGTATGATTTTACAAATCAAGACAACTTGAATGCTCTGGGGCATGTGATCTCTACCCACTCATCTATCCCTACCCATCTATCCTTACCCTCTTATCCCTACCCCTGCATCCTTACCCACTCATCCCTATCCATCCATCATTACCCACTCATCCTTACCCCTGCATCCTTACCCACTTATCCCTACCCCTGCATCCTTACCCACTCATCCCGATCCATCCATCATTACCCACTCATCCTTACCCCTGCATCCTTACCCTCTTATCCCTACCCCTCCATCCTCCCCCACTCATCCCTATCCACACATCCTTACTCAGTACCCATCTATCCTTACACACTTTACCCATCCAGCCCTAACAATCCATCTTTACCCACTCAGCCCTGCTCGTCTATCCTTACATACACAACCCTATTCGTCTACCTTTTTTTCCTCCCACCCACCTATTCTCGAACCTACCTAACAACCTACTAGTACCTATATGCATACACATCCTTAGCCACCCACCCTTATCCATACATCTCCACCCACTAATCCCTACCCATCCATCCTTAGCCACTTCATCCAAACCCACCCTTTCCAACCCACCAATCCCTACTGTAACTCCATGCTAGTACAGGGAAAAGGACAGAGTGAAGAGTGGATGCAGTAAAGCGCATACACCTAAAAGGCACACATTATTATTATTTTTTTTTTGTCTTAATTGAGCTGAACGGTACCTTACACTTTTCCATCTTGGTTAGATCGTCTTTTGGAAAGCACTGTCACCTGGTTGTAAAGTGTCAGCTATGAGCATGTACTCTTTAATCAACCTGTCATCCCTGGTGCCTAATGGCTGCCGAAGACTCGGAGATCAATAACATTATCTTGTCCCGATCGGATCAAAATAGCGCTCAGACTTCTCACAAAGGGGCATTTCACACGCCGGGCTAGTCGACAGTGAACACATTGGAAGATCAAATCTTACCCAGCTAACATTGATTACAATACACTTGTCCTCTGTATGTAGTCAAGCAATCTACCTTGTGTGACATAAGACTGATAAGAATGCATCCACCTGAAGCGAGGCCAGCTGAGAGAAAGACGCTGAGAGACAGACTACATGCTAAATGAAACTGAATGGCCCTAAATATAGATACTAACACTTCAGTATAGACACAACGGTATCTATTAACAAGGGCAAATCAGATTCAAAATGCTGCGTAACAAGAATGCCAGGAAATGTGTTTTGTCATTTAAGCTAAGACGAGATTTCTTTAGATTTTGTTCCCTTATTATAGTTTCTTCAGATAAATGACGACATGTCACTCGATTCACCAAACATAAAAGAAAACATGAGCCAAGCAGACATGTACTAGTATTAGTAATTTAAAAAGTAGAACAATTTTAATGACTAAAAAATTTTGGATAGAGATATAAAATATATGTACATAAAAAACTACAAGCCTTTCCCACTATAACCAAACTGCTGATTGTTCCCATATATTTACATATTCCCTCATTCTAAATTTAAGCTTTCATGTTGAAAATGTCAAAAGAAACCAAACCCATGAGCCCATATCTTATATCTTCATGCATATTCATGGAAGATTGGGTTTACTTTCCTGAAGCATAGGTAAAAAGCAAATACTAGTATCAGATTTATATGACAGGTTATTTTGCTTGTTTTTATATAAAACTATTGACAGGAAAACTTTTTTTCATATTAACAACAGACCTTTCAACATATAGGAAATTAAATAAGGAACAAATATGAAAAATCTGTGGAAAGCCACACCTATGTTCCAGTTCAATTGTGCAGTGGGAGTGGAGTTAATTCTTCAAACAGAAAAAAACATGAATGCACTAAAGTCAATTAATGAGCACATTTTTCCCCATTTTTTTCATCCACACATTCTCAGATATAAGTGCTAGCTGCAGGTCCAGGACACTAACATATGGCATTGTGGGACAGTTTCATATATAATTGTGGGATACTCAACAACTTTGCTACACATTGCTGAACTTGGGAAGGCACTTTTTT